TCCTGGGCTCAAGCGATCCTCCTGCCTCAGCCTCCCGAGTAGCTGGGACTACAGGCACACGCCACCATGCCCGGCTAATTTTTTCTATATATGTTTAGTTGGCCAATTAATTTCTTTCTATTTATAGTAGAGATGGGGTCTCGCTCTTGCTCAGGCTGGTTTGGAACTCCTGACTTGAGCGGTCCTCCCGCCTCGGCCTCCCAGAGTGCTAGGATGTACAGGCGTGAGCCGCCGCTTCCGGCCTGGGGTAGGTACTATTACTACTGTCATTTTACAGATGAGGAAACTGAGGTTTCGAGATCGTAAATAACTAACCCAAGTCTTGCAGCTTACCAAGTGATGGAACTGGAATCTCTTAACCCGTTGCTTTGCTGCCTCTCCGGGATTAAGGGTTAGGGCCTTGGAAACTAGTGACTTAAAAACTTAAAGCAGAAACTTGTACATAAATAAAAACAGCCCCCATGGAAACTTCGTAACTACACAGACACATTCGACAGTGTCTGTGCGAAGTCATGACTTCTGGCCACACGAGGTTCAATGTGTGTGAGGTTTTAGGTTTTTATGTCATTAACTTGAGACCCCGTGATGAACCCCCACAGGGTGGGTAAGAGCCCGCAGGAAGCGGACTGCTCCCTGGGCGGCCACACGGGACTCTGACGTGCGGAGAAGGGAAGGGAGAGACAGAGGCGAGGGGGTTTGATGGCCATTGAACGTGCAGCCTGTGGGTGGTGTCCTGGGCCAGGCTCGAGACTGATGGGCTGGGGGCAGCTTCAGGCAGCCTCAGAGTGACCACTGGGTCTCGTGCTGGGGGCTCACAGTGGCCGTGACTGAGTCAGGTCCCCGTGGGATGCGGGAAGGACTGAACAAGCCAAGAGCACAGAGCAGCCCCCCGCCACCCAGGGCGAGGAGTCCAGCACTGGCACGGGGCCGCTCTTCACCTTTAAGAGTCCGTGAAAACCCCCAGCTGTGCCCAGTGTGCCCACAGTTTCCGATGGCAGCCCCGCCTGGACCCCGGTCGGGGCCTCTGCACCTGCCACGCCCCTTGCCGGACCCCTGGTTCCCAGTCCTCTGCCCCCGGCCACCCACCTAGCTCCCCCAGCCCTCCCCGGAAGTTCCATTCTCTCTGTTGGAGGCGCTGACCGCCCTGCTTGGTGCAGTCTTGCTCGTCCCTCTGTTTGTTGTCTACCCCGCCCTCCATCCGGGAAGGCAGGCGGGGACCTGGTCTGCCCCGCGTCCTGCTGCTCTTCTCGGCACAGCCTCCATGCCCCTACTTGAGACTTGAACGCACAGATGTCACTTGGGGGCTTCAGAGACACCCCTGCCTCCCACTGCCATGACCACGCGTCTTATCTCCCACGTGGTGATTGCAACCCCAGAATTCGGTTCGAACATTTCCTGGCACGCATGTTAGGCAGGTGCTGCATACGGAAGAGCGGAAAGAGTCATCACTCCCGGGCTTCCATGCCGGGGCAGGCGCCCAGGCAACGACAGGCGGAAACTTTTATCTCAGGCAGACACGCGTGGAGCCCCCGCCGGGCTCCAGGTGCTGTTCTAAGCATCGAGAGGCGGATGCCAGTCTGGCGCTATCCCCACTCTATAAATGAAGAGCATGGCACAGAGACGTCTACTCACTCACCCAGGCCCACACAGCCGGCCAGCGGCACTCCTGGGCTGAACGCCACACCGCAGGCCTGGCCCTGCCACACAGCTGCCATGCAGGGGGGAGGGCTGCGCGGAGCAAGACAGGCTGGTTCAGACGGGGGGGGGGGGGGGGCAGAGCAGCCACCTACGCTGCTTCTGGGAAAAGCTGGCAACCAAGCCGGGCCTCGAAACCTGGGTCAGAAAAACTTTTTTTATTATTTTTATTTTTGTTTTTGGGTCAGAAAAACTTTACACGCAAATGTCCTTCTTTCTCCTTGAAGCTTCGGGTTGCCAGACTTAGCAAATAAAAGTCAAGGTGCCCACACACTGCGTGAGACATGCTTATACTGAAAGAAATATTGTTATCTGAAATTCAGATTTAACTGGGAAACCTGTATTGAATCTATCAAATGTGAATTTCGTGGGGAGGGAACGTTATTCAAACACCTCTTTAATTATTAGCTTCCAAAGCAACCTTCCATTTATTATTAGCTGCAACCTTAAATAACTACCTATTATTAAAGTTCACCATAAAAGGGGTCATAAAAGAGAATGTTTTTACCTTTCTCTGTATTGCGTGGTTTCAGATACGGGAGACATCCACGGGTTGCTCACAGCGTGAAATATAGAAGGAATGACCCTGATTGTTAGCATCATACACTATAAATACGTGGCTAAAAACCCCACAGGACAGAAGCCCTCCACCCCAACAGGGCGATTTCCTGCTACACCCTCCACCACTCACAGAGACCATTAGCTCAACTTCATTTCTTCTGGCAGTCACCGCGTGTCTCAGAAAGGGGCGGGGGCTTTGCTGCTATTTCTCTTCTGGGCACCTAGAGTTCTGAGCCCCTGGCCTCCTGCTCTGTATTTAAAGATGGTAATGAGTTTACTTTGCAGAAATTGGCCGCTTCCCATGTGCCAGGGGCATGTTCTAAAACATGACCCAAGTCATTCCCGGTTATCTTTATTGTGTAACCATCATGCGCTGGGCACGGTGCATCCTAAATTAGCTTTCCCGTCCACCTGACGATTTCAGGGCACTGTGCCGGACGACCGCCCCTCCCTTCAACGCCCAACTTCCAATACAGACCTTCTTTTAATTATTATTATTTCTTCTGCAGGTTTCCTTTCTTTTTGCCTCGAAGTCACGCATCTTTACTTTCCATCACTCCTTCCATGCCCTTCACCGCGCCTGCTGCCCCACCACTGTGTTAGAGCAGTCTGTCAAAGACCAACCTTCCCTTTTGCTACTTGACAGGTCAGTTTGGGGTAGCAATTTGTTTTTAGTAGACTAGGTTTAATGGACTGTATTTTCTCAGCAGTTTAGGTCAACAGCAAAATTGAGTGGAAGGCACAGAGATTTCCCACATCTCCCCAGCCTCGGACGGGCAGGGGCTGCCCCGATACCAACACCCCCTACCAGAGGGTACTTTGGTTACAGTCTATGAATCTTCCTGGACACATCATTATCACCTGGAGTCCACAGTTTACATCAGGGTTTATTTTGGGTGGGGTAGAATTTTTTTTTAAACGCAGACATTGTGGGGGTGCAGGGTGGAGGAGGGCACTTCTGGGATGGAAACGACAGGAGCCAAACCTGCAAGGAGATGGGTGGAATCACATCCAGAGGTGGGAGGGAGGCAGCTCGAGGAGACACGGGGCTGATGTGGAAGCCAGTGTCCAGCAAGGGCTCGGCAGCCCAGCTGAGACGCCTGTGCCTGGCTAGTCGGAGGCAGTGAGAAGTCAGCGAGTCACCGCAGGTGGATATGCAGGTGGGGCGCAGGTGGACGAAGGGCAGGAAAGAGAAGGAGCAGAGAAGGGGGAAGGAGGAGGAAGAGGAGGCGTGTTTGCCTCTGAGTGCTGTTGTGGGAATTACATTTAGATATGACGTCTAACACACCAAGCTCAAACACCCAAACCTTATTTGCTGTGTCTATATCTGTAAAGTGGGTTTTAAATGCTTTTGTCTATCTCAGAAGTTTGTTGCCGGAATTTTATGAAGGATTGGAAATATCATTTTGAAAGGTTCCGTGTTTTCCCGAAAATAAGACAGGGTCTTATATTTATTTTTCCTCAAGAAGACACCCTAGGGCTTATTTTCAGGGGATGTTATTTTCCCCTCAAAGCCTCAGCTTGCAGCACGAACAGGATGGCAGGGACCTGACAGGGGGAGCCGACCTTGTTGGTGGGGCTGCCCGCACCTTTCTGGTCACCTCTGGGATAGCAGCTGTCATGACAGGCCAGATGAAATGCACGGGTTGTGCAGATACACTGCGTAGTCATGTCCATCACTAGGTCTTATTTTCAGGGTAGGGCTTATATTGTGCAAATGTTTAGAAATCCTGCTAGGGCTTATTTTATGAGTAGGTCTTATTTTGGGGGAAACACGGTAGCAACCACTTTTTGAGTGCTTATGACGTGCTAGGCACATTGCTAAGGCAGGCATCCTCAAACTACAGCCCACGGACCACATGCCGCCCGCCTAGGACATTTATCCGGCCTGCTGGGTGTTTTTGCCACAGCTGCCTGTCCTGCTTAGCAGCCAACTCGTCCCAGGCCCACAGTGGGCACTCTCCAACGGTCAGAGGGACAGTGAACTGGCCCCTGTTTAAAAAGTTTGAGGACCTCTGGCTAAGGGTATGCATGGACTCATCAGAGAGTGGTTTCTAGTGGCTTGGTCCCCCCTACCCATTTCTATGTGTGTTGGGGAGAGGGGGGGTGTGCTCTTCTTAATGCGTGAAAGCTGCACAGCAGAGCTATCTCGTTTACTCTCCAGCTGGCCAGGAGCCGGGGAGGGCCCGGACTCAGATGTCTGAGCAGCCTGGTCCCCCCAGTCGTCCGCTGGCCCTTAGATCGGCATAAAGGAGTGGTGTAGACGAGCAGACGCAGGCTGCCACGTCCTTTCCTTCTCGCGGAGATCCAGAGGTCAAGGTAAGAGTCTAACGGGTGTTTCTCCAAGGGTGGCCTCGGACCGCGGAGGAGTCACCCAGGGCCTATGCTGGCCCCCGCACGCCATCTACTGGACTCCCTAAGAAGTGCGGGGCTGCGTGGCCGCACACCCAGGTGTGAGCACCTGAGAGTCTGCCGACAGGATCTCGCTCTGGGGGAGCCATCAAGGCCAGCTGCCTGGAGGAGTCGGCCCCTCGGGACTGGAAGAGGAGGTGGGGTGTGTGTGAATCAGACGGGGGCTCTGAGAGGCCAAGAACTGGTTCGCGAGGGCTTGGCAAAACTCCTTGCTCAACGCACAGGCGAAAGGCCCGGGAGCCGCTCTACCTTACCCAACGCGGGTCCCTTCGGCCTGGCCGCCATACTGCATGCGCATGCGCACCCCGGGCCGTTAGCTCGCGCCTCCGCGCCCCACCCCCAGTGCGCAGGCGCGCGGCGGGTGACGTCACTCCGCGCCAGACTCCGCCGCGGGAGGCGTCGCACAGTGACCGTGTAGCCATGGAGCCGAGGGCGGGTAAGGGGCGCGGCTGGGCTGTGGGGCTAGCGGAGGCGGCGGGGAGGGGACCTTGGGGACCCCAGGGCTGGCGGGGGGATTGGAGGGGCCTGTGCGGGGCTCGGACTCGGATTCCCGATAAGGACGCCAGGAAGAATAAAGGTAACGGGCAGAAGAGCCAGGAGGGCCACCTGCTGACACATGGCGGGTCCCCTGGGCCCGGTGAGCTCGGGGGAAACTGAGGCAGGGGCAGGAATGGAAGCCGGTTTAACTTATACGCTGGGGGCGCTTAGTCGCTGTCGTCTCGACGAATGCTCTCGGAGGTCGTCGGTCCGAGGCCCTGCTCTGGGCACTGAAGAGCCTCCGGAGCCCCGGCCTGAGATCACCCTCTAGCGGGGAAGAGCCGGGACGGTCGATGGCAGGATGGCCTGGCAGAGATGGGGCCCGGTGCTGCCCATGCTCAAGTGTGCCACGGTCTGTTAAATCGAGGTGCCGCAACCGCGAGCAAACAGATCCGCTCCCACCCCGCTACCTACCTGCGCAGCGTGTCAACACGGGGCGAGGACGCAGTGGGGCGGTAACAGAGATTTCCACACGCGAAACCCTTGCTTGATAATCTGCAATGCTGGCCATACACTATGTTGTCAGGAAAACAAATCCTGTAAGTAGATGGAGTGATTTGAAACAAGTTCCTGCACAAGTACAAGAATACCCCTGGACCAACAAAACCAAACATTCAGTAAATATTTTAACATGTGTTCCTATGAATATGCCGATTTTATGCTTCTCCTACTTAACTGGAAACTGATTTTTATGTTTCTCTACTCCAAGAAGAGCACATGGTTGATGCAAATTTTATTTGTTGGTGCTGCCCCAAATATTTAAAGTATATGTGTTGCCTAACAATGCATTTGTAAAGTTGGATATGGAATAAAAGATTTCACCCTAAAAAAGGCAGTTGTGTAGTTGGTAATCCAAAATAATAGCTGGCTCACAGATCACTTAGTTTTAAGACAAGCTTACGTGACTTACAGCAAGAATAAACTAATCACAGTTATACTAAGACTGAACAGACTGAGGTTACAGTTTCTTTATAACTTAACAGAACTTGTGTGTCCCGGGGAGGACTCTAGAAATGCCTGGTTACATGGTTTGGGTTGTATTTCACTCACCTACTCCCACAAGGTTAGTAGAAGTGGGCTAAACACTTGGGTTATTTAATTTACTCTATTTGGGGACTTTAATCATTTCTCTTTGGTGTGAGACTTTTTAACCCTGATTTTTTTGACGTAGAGATCAGAACTTGATCTGGCCTGGCATGGTCACAAACTTGGGTGTAGAGGGTTGAGGGTGTGCAGCGTGGTCTGAGACTGCACGCACTGTGGGATTCCTTCTTTTATTATTAAGTCACAACACTTTTGTTGTCATAGGTGTCTCCAAACAGGACATCCGTGAACAAATTTGGGACTACATGGAATCCCAAAATTTAGCTGACTTTCCCCGACCTGTCCATCACAGGATTCCCAACTTTAAGGTACTTACTGAAGCACCTCTGGAGTACTTAAAAGGAAAACAGGATGTTCCTAAATGAATAACATTAGTAATACGGTTCCCATACTGCTTCATGGTGGAATTCTGTGACCAGAATTCTAATCTGAGTAGTGGTGTGAAATCAAAACCATCTGGCCAGGGCATCCTTAGTGTTCAGAAACATCCGTCATCATGTTACTCACCCTTCATTCGGGCCTCTTGCCTGTCTGTGCGGGGTGGCTAGCTGTGTCTTTCCAGGGAGGTGGTGCTAGGGCTACTGTTTTCTATCTGATACAAAGTCAAATATTTATCCTGGCTGGAAGCATGTTATTGTTGTGACACCTTTTCCCAAAATTGGCCTCCCTAAGAACATTGTGGAGTGAATGTGCTCTGAGGGGGAAGCCCAGCTACTCTCGCCTTCAGAAAGAAATGGATGCCTTGTTGGTCTCTGTATATACCGGGCCTCAGATTCGCAGCTGCTCAAAATACAAGAGGATCAAAGATGCACATTTTGCCAGTGTCGATAGAAAAAAAGTTTGCTTGAAAGAGACAAGGCCGGGCGAGGCACTCTGGGAGGCCGAGGCAGGCGGATTGCTCAAGGTCAGGAGTTCGAAACTAGCCTGAACACGAGCGACTTTATATTTTCTATAAATAGAAAGAAATTAATTGGCCAACTAATATATATAGAAAAAATTAGCCGGGCATGGTGGCGCATGCCTGTAGTTCCAGCTACTCGGGAGGCTGAGGCAGGAGGATTGCTTGATCCCAGGAGTTTGAGGTTGCTGTGAGCTAGGCTGATGCCATGGCACTCACTCTAGCCTGGGCGACAAAGTGAGGCTCTGTCTCAAAAAAAAAAAAATGAAAGAGACAACAATTCATACTCTTCAGCATGCTTATTTTCCAAGAGAAAAAGAAAAAGCACTTTTCAAAAATGCTCCATCAGGCCAGCAGAATGCGGCCATTTGCTCCCCGTCACCCTGGTTTGACTGGGCTTTCCCTCTCACGCCTGGCTTTTCCACAGCAAGCTCCAGCCCTTCTCTGGTCCTCAGCTGAGCTGGTCCCAAGATTGTCCTGTCCCTTTAAAAAGTCTCCTTTTGTTTGGTTTTGTTGTTGTTGTGTTTTGTTTAAGTGCTTGTTACCCAGGGAGAGATACAGGACATACAGGAGGAAAGATGAAGAATGCACAGAATCGTGGAGAAATCTTTAAAAGTGAACCGGTGGGGTTTTGTTTCAGTAAAAACTAAATTGGGGGCCAGGCGCGGTGGCTCACACCTATAATCCTAACACTCTGGGAGGCCGAGGTGGGTGGATTGCTCAAGGTCAGGAGTTCGAGACCAGCCTGAGCAAGAGCAAGACCCCGTCTCTACTAAAAATAGAAATTAATTAGCTAACTAAAAAAAATATATATATATAAAAATTAGCCAGGCATGGTGGCACATGCTTGTAGTCTCAGCTACTTGGGAGGCTAAAGCAGGAGGATCGCTTGAGCCCAGGAGTTTGAGGTTGCCATGAGCTAAGCTGATGCCATGGCACTCCAGCCAGGGCAACAGAAGTGAGACTGTGTCTCAAAAAAAAAAAAAAAAAAACCTAAATTGGGCGTGGGCTAGTCTCTCTTCCCAAATCCCTTTCTTCCTGGACACTTCCTAGATGTTTCTTTGGATGGCTCTCAGTTGCAGTCTTAGAATTAGAGCCCCTTCCTGCCTGGGTGGGATCCGGGACAAGCTGCTCAGGCCACGGTCACCCCAGGCATGCATGGTCCTCTTGGTAACACGCAGTTGCATTCGAAACAGGGCGCCCCTCGTGCTGCCGAGCCTCCCGCACTTGCAGGCGTTCCGAACCCAGAACCATTAAAGTAAATCCCGGACGCTCCCCAGAAAAACGCTCGCTTCTTCGTCTTGAAGTAAGTGCAACTCTGTCTATTTGTCTGGACTAGGGGTCTTATCTGGCTTGCCAAAAGCATCAAAGACCTAGACGTTTTTGCCAGAGCACAGGAAGTTAAAGTGGACCCCGATAAACCGCTGGAAGGCGTTCGGTTGCTGGCACTGCAGGTAATCCCACTTCCCTGAGCCAAGGCCGCGGCCACCTAGGGGACAGACCGTTCTCCAGGTGGTGGGGACATGCATGCAGTCCTTGGTGGAGAAAGTCCGTGCTTCTGGCTCCCTCCAGTGCAAGAATGGGCCCGTGGTGTCTTTTCCAAGCACAGTCCAGAAGCCTGTCAGTTGTTTGGCATTCAGTCAGTCAGAAGTCCTGAATGTTTCTAAGTTTAGAGATGAAGGGTGTTCAAAGCGACGTTCTTCAGGCACCAACACAGGGGGGAACCAGGCAAGAACCTGTAGTTCCTAGACTTGAGGAGTTGGAGCTGAAAGTACGAGGACATGCATGTTGCCTTGGAAACAAAGCATGCTGAGAAGAGTTTACTGCACTTAGAACCCTTTGCTTCTTAATAACAAAGGTCACTTGTTACTATGTCATGCTGTAGTAGTAAAAAGACCATGATAAAGAGCTGGAAATGTTTTTCTCAAACACTTAAACTTTCCAAATCCAGACCGCTTTTATGATAAATTTGATTCCTTACCTCCAAACAAACAAACAAAAAGTGATGGCCATTGAGCCTCTCTCAATTCAGAAGAGAAAGGTTACAATGTTATTAATGTAGTTTTGCTACATTTATAGATATAAGTCTTCGAAATGTGATACATCATGAGTAAGAATGATCTGACGAAATTGTGTCCCCCAAATGTATAAAATTTAGGATACTCCAGCCTGAGCAAGATCGAGACCCTGTCTCTGACTATAAAATAGAAAGAAATTATGCCAATAATATATATAAAAAATGAGGCCGGCCATTGGGTGGCGCATGGCCTGTAGTCCCAGCTACTGGAGGCTGAGGCAGGAGGATGCTTGGAGCTCAGGAGTTTTAGGTTGCTATGAGCGTAGGCTGACGCCATGGCACTCACTCTCGCCTGGGCAACAAGCGAGACTCTGTCTCAAAAAAAAAAAAAAAAAACATAAAATGAAAGTATGCTTTAAAAAAAAAGAAAGAAAAGAAAGTCCTATGTAAAATTTAATTTTGTAATTTATTGATTGCCTTTTCTTTAGAGTAAGAAAACACTGTTGGTTCCAACACCACGACTTGAGAACGGGGTTGTTTAATAAGATTACACCACCCGGGGCAACAAAGACATCCTGAGAAAATGTGCCCACTTTCAGGTAAGTGTCATTCTCCAAGGTAAGAACTATTCCGCTGAGACTTCTGATGTGAGTTAGAATAGCGTAATATAGCATCATGACATTTATTTTCACAGAGCCAAATGAGCAGGGACGGCATTAAATTGTTCAGCAATTTGCATAAGGGAGCCAAGTTAGGAAGCTGTGAATCCATTTCTGTAACTCAGTTTCTGTTTGCACCAAGTTAGGCAAATTATAAGTTCCTTTTTGTAAGAAAAGTAAGCAAGCTCTCTGGTACTTCCTGCACCTCGGTGTTAGCTATGATACCTCGACCACCGTGTAGCCTTGTCTTAGTTCCCAGCCTGTCTGTCACACGGCACCCAGCAGCTTGGCAGACGGGATGGATTTCAAAATATATTCACTTGGACGTTGGCCTGACCAGTTCTAAATTAACAATTGGTGACAATGTACATGTAAGATTTTCATTGATGCCTCACAATCTAGTAAAGTCAAAGTGTGTAATATTATAGTTGGTGATTATAATAAAATTTGTCTTGTATTTCACAGCTAAAGAAACAGAATTTGATGGCTTTTTTAAGAATCCTAAAGTAACTCCAGGTCATTTGATTTCTAATCTACTGAGAATAAAAATTAAAAATTTCAGATATCTTTAAGGGATTTGCCACTTAAGCCTAGATATAAAAATTGAATGTTTTTGTTTATTACTGACACCCTGTCTATTCCAAATAAATTTGATGTGGCTTATAAAATATATGACGATAAAAAAAAAATATATGTAGATAAAGGAGCAGAGGACAAAATAAAGGTAGAAAAGTGAGACGAACCGTGGTTATGGTCAGAGTTCGTCTTACTAAAAATAGAAGAAATTAATTGGCCAACTAAAATTAATAGAAAAATTAGCTGGACATGGCGTGTGCCTGTAGTCCCAGCTACCTGGGAGGCTGAGGGAGGAGTTGGAGATTGCTGTGAGCTAGGCTGACACCACAGCACTCTAGCCTGGGCAACAGAGTGGAGACTCTGTCTCAAAAAAAAAAAAAAACCTCTCTTGCCCGGCTGGGCATGGTGGGCTCACGCCGTATAGTCCAGCTACTTTGGAGTGAAGGCAGAAGGATCGTTGAGCCCAGGAGTGTGGAGTTGCTGTGAGCGAGGCTGACGCCACGGCACTCTAGCCTGGGCGACAGAGTGAGACTCAGTCTCAAAAAAAAAAAAAAAAGATGATGGCCTTCAGTATTTATATGGAATAGGTATGTCGTACAGCGGTTTACTGACCATGTCCTGTGTGCTGAATGCTAGGGTGTGAGGAGCTACAGCACCCCCATAGGCCTGGATTCCAGCGTCCTCGTGGATGTAGTCGTGGTGGGATCCGTCGCCGTTTCTGAAAAAGGTGAGATCACAAACAGGAGCTCCTGGTGTGACGGCTGCCCCCGAAGCTCGCTGCTTCACAGTTCTCTGTCTGCCTGTCTGTTGACGGTTGGTGGGAGTCTCTGCCTTCCGGACGCATGCCCGTCTCCAAAGCCAGGCTTTTCTCGTTCATGTCAAAGAATCGACTCGTGCCCCACCCTCCACCAGCCTGGCACTCAGCCCCTTGACAGTAGTTTTACTTTTCTTTGCAGGGAAAATAAAGTGAGATGACTCTCTCTCCAGACAGTGACAGATTTTCTCTCTGTTTCTAAGTTAGCTGGAACCGGAGCTGACTTTATTTGCGGTATGTCAGCAAAGAGTTGATCTTGGAGGGACTCTGGCAAATGGAGAAGCATCAGGTTCTAAGCTGCGTTTGTGTTACGCAGCGGCAGCCTCCTGCACACCACGGCGTGGCCCTTGGACTGCCCTAGCCTGGAGCTTTGCCCGCAGCAGGGGGCGCAGACTGCTCTCGGGCCACACCGCCAGGGGCCCCACGCCACCCCCTCTCGCCACCCCCTCTCATCTCCACCTGCAGCCTGCGCTCCTCTCCCAGCCGTTGCTCTGCGTGGGATGCTGTTGTTCTTTATCCTTTGCTCTTGGTGTGTTCCCAGTGTCGGCTGCGTTAGCTGCGCCTTCAGGGCCGGCACTCCCCGGCCCAGGTTCCCTGCGCGCCGCAGTGCGTGGGCGGCTGGCACGAGGGCTGGACTGTTCTCTGTGCTGGAGACGAGCCAGGACCGGCAGGAGCGGGCGTCAGAGGAGAGACCCAGGCGGCCCGCCAGCCTGGAGCAGGGTGTCACTTCAGAAGGGGCCTCGGGGCCAGCTCTCGAGCACAGGGAATCGTCGAGGCAGATGGCGCTGACGGGCTCTCGGGCAGAAGGGACAGTGTGCCCACGTGGCCTGGACCTCGCTAGGTTGGGACTGGCTCCCCGGAGGCCTTGAGGCCAGGTGATGGGATCCCAGATGGTGTTTTGGCTGCGGGATATTAGCGAAGGTCTCCTCTTGAAAAGGATCGTCAGGAGTTTTCCTTTTCAGCTCAGGAAGGAAACTGTTGGCCGGGCATGGCGGCTCACGCCTGCAATCCTAGCACTCTGGGAGGCCAAGGCGGGAGGATCGCTCAAGGTCAGGAGTTTGAAACCAGCCTGAGCAAGAGCGAGACCCCGTCTCTACTATAAATAGAAAGAAATTAATCGGCCAACTAAAAATATATTAAAAAAATTAGTCGGCACATGCCTGTAGTCCCAGCTACTCGGGAGGCTGAGGCAGAAGGATCGCTTGAGCCCAGGAGATCGAGGTTGCTGTGAGCTAGGCTGATGCCACGTAACTCACTCTAGCCCGGGCAACAGAGTGAGACCCTGTCTTAAAAAAAAAAGTGTGGTTTGGTCTTTTCCCTTCCGCATGGCACTAGAGTGAGGTACATTCTGTCGGATAGTCCGGGTGTAGCCTTGGGCTGTCTACGGGAAGATCCCCAGGAAGGGACTGCCACGCTGGAGGGTGAACTTCAGGCCTTGAGGGATGTTGCCAAACTGCCCGCCAGAGAGGCTGCTCATTGCAGTCCCCAACAGCGTGCACCCCGCCTCTGTCCCTGCTCCCTGTCCTCGGCCGGAGTTGTCGCGCTTTTATGTTTCAGCCGTCGGACAGTGAGCAGCGGCGTCCCGTTTGCCTCGAGGTTTGCATTAGGAGTGACGTGGAGCCTCTCTCACCTGTTTACTGACACCTGCCTGCCATTTCCTGCGAACCGTCCACATCCTTTGCCATTTTTCTGTTGAGTTGCCATTCTGTCCTTTCTTTGCATGCACACTTGAAGGTTCTTAATTCTCAGAGTCGCAGTCAGATCTGAACGGTAGAAAGACGTAGCGGCAGTGGCAGTGACATGGGTGCCCCTGGCGGTGGCGCAGAGGAGGTGGCGAGAGAGCCAGTGTCTGTCTGAGCGCCTTGTGCTTCCTGCAGAGCGGAACCGCGGTTCCTGCTGGGAGCTGGAAGGCTCTCGCTCTTCACTGTTTTCTGCACAGGGGGTTGGCTAGAGAGGCTACAAACCCAGGTGTGATCTTGGCTTCCCTTCAGGTTCGGGCAGTGCTTCTGTTTTGCTTCCGTTCATGAATTTCCAGATGGCATCAGTACTGCCCACACTGCCCCTCCCTCGGGAACTTGGGATAAACTGGGTGACTGTTCAATGCTTTTTAAGTGACAGGGCTGGTGTCTTCATGTATCCCTGGCTTAAGAGTTTTTGTTTTCCCTCTAAGGTCAATAGATTTAAAATGTTTTGCATTTAGTAAGAATTTGTCCTTTGTCTTTTTAGAAACTGCCCTTTCGTTAGTGTTCAACGTGAGGCTTGCTAACATAGAGGTTGCATGCATGCGACTTCAGCTTCCCTGTGTGACACGTTTAAAGGGTTCAGTGTTCACATCATCGTGTTTGCGGTTCTGTGCGTTTTCGTGCCGCTGTTCCTGTCTCACGCCTGGCCGTGCGTTTGCGGGCGGCTGCTGGCAGGGCTCCTCTGGAGATCCCCGTGGGCAGGCCCGGGGTGTGGGGCTCGAGTTTCTCCTTCCACCGTGCCCTCGTGGAAAGCTCCCTCCACAGTGACGCCCAAACCCACGGAGTCCTGACCCTCGCTCGGCCTTGTCTCCCAGGCTGGAGAATCGGGAAAGGAGAAGGCTACGCCGACCTCGAGTACGCCATGATGGTGTCCATGGGAGCAGTCGGCGAGGAGACGCCCGTGGTCACCATCGTCCACGACTGCCAGGTGCTTGCCGTGGACGGGCTGGGCAGGGCCGCTGCCAGGCTCCTCCCAGAGCCCCGGGGTGTGGGGAGAGACCCGGCCGGCCGCCTTGGCACCGTGCTGTGTCGTGAGTCACGTTGCCTGGGCCAGGTGGGATCTGCCGGCGGAGCGGCCGCTGAGCCTCAGCCGCCCGTGGTTTGTGGGGTGCTCTCCCACCAGCCCGCGTCCGCCGAGCAGCGCAGCCCACCGATGGAGCCGTCCCAGCAGCCCCTTGACGCTTGTGTGGCGCAGGTCGTGGACATCCCCGAAGCGCTGGTCGGAGGACCACGACATCACAGTCCGCACTACATCCTCACGCAACCAGAGTCCTCGCCACCGGCTGTGAGCGCCCAAAGCCAACGGGGATCACCTGGTCCAAGGTGGGTTGTCGCCTCAGCCATTCTGGCTTAGTTAGACTCCCCCTTTTCTGGTGTGTCTGCTGGCGCGGCCGTGTCGCTGGTGTGTTTCTCATTGGAGTCGCCCGTGGAGCTTTTGGACAGTTTTGCTCGAGACGCGCGCGCGAGCCGGGGATCTCCTCATAACCTCTAGGTTCGCAAGTCCTGGCTCAGGGTCTACGGCACAGATGACAAGAGGGACCCCACTGACGAGGCGCGCGCAGCGCTTCTTTTTTTTGTCTTTTATTTATTTTTTTGTTGTTGTGTGTGATATTATGTACAATTCAAGTTAATAAATGCCATTCCTCCTCCCCACAATCTAGTCGCCAAGACACGCCCAGATCAATCTCATCATGATTCTGATGATACCCCGCCCCCCTGCCAATCTCTTTATTTTTATGAGTTTTCCCCCACTTTGCGTGTCTGTTGCCGCTATCCTTCCTTTTGATAAATCCATTTCTTGGGTTTTTGTTTTTGTGACAAGCACTGCTGCACCGCGCGAGACCTGTTCAGTTCCTAGCTCACCACAACCATCCCGCGTCAATTTTCATCCTCTGCTCGCTGCCATGACTGGACACAACCCACATCCGGCAATTTTTCTATAATATTTTAGTTGGCCAATAGTTCTTCTAATTTATAGTAGGAGACGGGTCTCTTCTGCTCAGGCTGCGTTCAACTCCTGACTTGAAGCATACTCCGCCTCGCCTCCCAGAGTTGGCATTTCGATTATAGGCATGGCAGCCGAAGCCCCGTCCAAATCCAGATTCTCTTACTGTACATTGCTCTCCAGCAGAGCTAAATTGATAGAGGCAGTGTCAAGCTTTAGGTTGCTGCCTTTGCCAATTTATCTCCAGCGAGATAAGTTCAGTACACGTGCCTCAAGGCGGAGGTCTGCCAACAGCGTCCTCTTGTGAGCAGCG